CCTCTTGCCCACATAGACTGCCTAACTATCACCAGAATAGCAAGATCTGGAAGATGGCAGGAACATTCTAGACTTCTCTGTACCTGGGACAGTGAGTTTTACACATTCCAGTTGCTTTACATACTGTTCTGATAGCTGCAGGCATATTCTTCCTTGCTGTTAAGTGGTTCTTATTAGCTGTTGTCTTATTATCTTGGTATGTTTTCATCTTAACGATCAGAGCTTGATATACTCAGTATGTACCAAGATATTTATATATCTGTGGGTCTGGCCATTTTTTGCTACTTTGCATATGCATAAAATTGTGGTTAGGCTTCTATGAATATGTAAAGTTTTTTTTTTTTAATAAAGAGTTAGGTTGTCCATATAATGTATTTGCTTCTCCTGTAATTGTGGTGGATCTATTTGGGACAGTCTAGCTGGATAGTTCATGTGACTTCCTTGTGGTTGCTGGACTTATGTGGTGTGATTTGCTTAATTGGCAATGGAGAAAATTGTATCAGTGTGATGTGGCTTATGCTAGGCTTCTCTGCTGTGTGCAGAGGAGGGAAGATTATCCAGATATTAAGCATCATATTGCCAGCAGAGCAAGCCCCAAATAATCTGTAGACAGCAGTGGAATCCAGTGATACATGAGATAGTGAAACAGCCCTAAGAAAGACAGACACCAAGAGAGTCATGTGGTTCTAATGGGACAGCTTCTTTAATTACCACCAAGTAAGTTAGTCCAAAGAATAAAAAGACTAACTGCCACAAGGAAGTCACCTTTGAAGTGGGTGAACTGAGGAACAAATACATTGCTGAGATAATCTCTGTAGGAGAAAGAGTAAGTGCTTGTGAGAGAAAGATAATGACCATAAGTTCCAGATGAGCTCACCTACCCACCCCATTTTAAGGTCACATTATTTATTATTTTATTATAGTTTCCTGCAACAGAACCCTTGCAAATAACAAGGATGATCTATATTGCTTTATGGCTGGGCAGACTGACATGGGAAAATATACAAAATATGGAGCCTAAAGCTATTATTAAAAATAGTTTCTTAGTTTGTGATTGCAAACTGTATATAGGGAAGTTATGTAGAACAGTCAAGAATAGCCTGTGTTTTCCCGCAAAATAAGCCCCTCTGTGGTGAGTAAATTATGATCCACAAGTATATTGCCATTGACCTGATTTTATTTGCAAGAGAGCTGATAATGCCATTTCAACTCTATACATTTTAAAATATTCTTCTATTGGATTGACCAAGTGATATGGGGTAATTTTAAAAGCAGAAAGGAAATATTAAATAAAAAGAGAAATTACCACTGTTCCTCTCCCCTCTTTCCAAAATATTTTTAAAATTTTAGGTGACTGCAGACACTTATAGAAGCAATAAGAATTAAAATTTCTGAAGAGCAAAAGATTGGTTGAAAATTGAGAGTGGGTGAGAAAAAATGGATATGTAAAATAAAGTGATTCACATGCCATTGTAAACTATGCATCCTGCTTCTGGAGAGACTGAAGACTCTGTAGGAAATACCTGAAGAGGAGTACCTTGAAAGTCAAAAGACCCTCTCTGACAACTTTTTTTAAACTAATATTGTCACTTTTTTTCTGTTACTTTCAGGGCACCCACAAGAAAATAATGGATGTTGCCAACATGCTTGGTTTATCTAATACAGTCATGCGTCTCATTGAGAAACGTGCCTTCCAGGATAAGTACTTCATGATTGGAGGCATGCTTGTGACATGCATAATCATGTTCCTCGTAGTACAGTATCTTACTTGAAAGGCTGAAGAACACACTACCAGACTGAGTTAGCGTTCCTTTCTACACTGATTTCCAGCATAACTGTGAATCTCCTGGATTGGCTACAGCTGCCACGTGACTCATATGATGCTCAAGTTGAGTGGCTCATATAGATTCTGCCGTTGGTGTGCAGGAATGCTTATCCACACAGCACTCATGATTTTTCAGTCATATAGTGGGCATGTTGCCCATGTGACTCTCAAGCTTAATTGATAAGGGCAGGAGCTGTCTCCTTTAGTTCTCTTAGTAATCCTGGTATAAGTTATAAAGCCTCTCAACAAAGTGACCAATAAAGTATTACTATTGGATCTATAGATTTCATAGTTCCTCAAGATCAAGATGTATACGTCTACAAACACTGTAATTACTAGTGAAAATGAAGCAGCCTGGCTTGAAGGACTTGTTGGCTTAACTTATTGCAGGTGTGGGACATAGGGAGACTGTCTTGTTCCCAGGATTGATTAAAATAAATAGAAATCTTTAGTCCATGTGCAATGGAGATGGTTTTTGATAATTATAGATTCTGCATCTATCATTTATCTAGAGTAAACAGATTGTGTAAACTAGCTGAACTACAGTGTAGTAACTCACTTTAAAGTAAATAATGGATGTGTTAGGGACCATGATAATTCAGATACACGTGCTGTAGCAGAATCCTACTTTTAGTGTTAGGAAAGAAGTGTGGGACATACAGGGGAATAACAAACTTCCTTACAAAATGCATTTATATGTGTATTTTTAAAAATTTGTACGTAGAATCACTGGTTCACAGTGTAGCCATTGTGTTTGTCACAGCAGTCTCATCTTTTAATCCCCTAGCTTTTGTGTATTCAGTTTCTTCTACTTTTCATGAATGCAAAATTTATTATTTCTGCAATTTTATGCTGCACAGTTCCAAAAAACATTTATACAGTGAGATCTAACAAGATGAATTTAACCACTTTTGAGTCAAAAGTATATAATCCTTAATGGATTTTGGGAGGGGACGGGGAGATTTGAAATCTTGTGCAAAGCTTGTGTACTCCTAAAGAACAGAGTTAAGTTGAAAGCTTCCAGGTAAATGCATATAAACCTATCATTTGATATCTCAGACCTATTGTCCTTTGTTCTACCTGGACCAGTATTATTGCTTTGTTTGAAAAACCTGATTGTGAATAGATGAATAGCATAAATGTTATTCCATATTATAACAAATTATGTGTGCTGTTCTATACTGTAAATCTCTAAGATTTCAAGAAATCCTTACAGCTGATATAACCTGTGTTACGAATTGTCTGTTTGCAAATGGTGCCTGGCTGTCTTACTAAGCTGGGTCAACTAAGGTATAGTATCAAAGTTTAATTGTCTTTTTCTACATCCCCAAATTCATTAATACAACCATATGCTGAAATAGACATCCAAGCATCATGTACAAATTGCAATCAGGCTATGTTCCTGATAACAGTTTATTTGATTCTTGCTTCATTTTTACTGATAAGGGTAATGTTTCAGTAAGTTTAAGCAGATTAAAAATTCCTCCAAAGCAGATACGGAAAATATTCAACAGTAATTATAGTTTCATTCTGTTTGGTTTTTTTTTTCTTCTGCTGTATTGACCTACTCCTCCAAATTAAAGTTCCCTTTTTCCTTTAAGGAGTCACATGCTTTGCTTTAAAGGAGGTATTTAATTGAAATATGGCTAGATGTTAATTAAGTTATTGTCATGCTATACCAGACATGTCAAACACAAGGCCCGGGGCCGGATGCGGCCCGCAAAGTGGTTTCATGTGGCCCGCGAAGCCATCCTGAAAAACAGTAAGGGAACGGCCCCTGCTGCCTCGGCCCTGGTCCAGGCTGGCCGGGAGCCAATGTACAATTTTGTGGTGGCCATCTATGCTGAAACGCATTCAGTCTTAGCTCCACAAGACCATCTGGAAACAGCGAGGAAACAGCCCCTGCGTGTCGCCCTGCCCCCTGGGTGCATGCTGGGGAGGTGAAACCTCCCCAGCTGCGTTTCTTGCCTATTTTTCTCCCTCATCTCAAATATTTTCCCACCACTCTGTACTTAAGAAAGAAGAAAGGAAAGAAGGAGAGGGACAGTCTGAGGGAAGTCCTACTTTAGTCCTGCCCTGCTGCCCTTTGACCCATCCCCTTGCCCCCTCCTCCTGTCCTATCCTGGGGGTTTCCCATCCTATTGCTAAGAAAGCTTTGGGTACAAAGCCGGGTCTCCTCCCATGGAGAGGGAATGGGCCTTCTTCTGACTTTGCTCTTGTACCCATCATGAGCAACCTGGCTAAGGAGAGCAAGCACAGCAGCAGCAGCCTTGAGGAGGTGGTAATTGCAGCTGGGCGCCCCCTTGGGGAAGTGGGGCTGGGCTTGGTGCCGCGAGTGCTCGAGGGCCAGGCTGGGCATTTGACCTCTGCTGCCCAGGGCTCCGGGCAGTCCACACCACCATCAAGCCCCCCCCCGCATGGCCTGAGAGAATAGTGAGGCTCCTCCAGTGGACCATGCCTTGGCACTTGCCCTGGCCCCACCTCCTTCTGCCAGAGACCCTCAGATCTGTCCCACTCCTGCCCAGGCCACCACAGGCACCCTTGATGTGAATGATATAGATCTGGCCATGCTCACCCAGTAGGCCACACCCACTCCATCCATGCCCACCCAATAGGCCACACCCACCCAGCCCCCTGAGGGCAACCATAATGCTGATGCGGCCCTCAGTGAAATTGAGTTTGGCACCCCTGTTTTATACCGTACATTTTTAAAAGAATGTGAAGCATTCTCATAGGGATATTCTGAGAACAAATTATATTAGATATTGGGAAGCCCTTGAATTATAATTTTCAAATTAATGTCTCTTTAGAAGCATTCAGTCTGTCTTTCCAAGCCCTTAGTAATGGCAGGTATAATATATATGTCCTCTCCCTAGTACAATGATGGTGAACCTTTTAGAGACCGAGTGCCCAAACTGCAACCCAAAACCCACTTATGCATCATCGGATGCTGGGTGGGTGTGGCCCATTGGCTGGGTGTGGCCAATTGGGTCAGTGTGGCCCATTGGGTGAGCGTGGCTGCGGTGGTAACGGCAGACTGGGTGGGACTAAAAAGTTCAATCAATCAATTCCAACTTTGCAAGATCTTTTTTTTTCCCAAAATAAGTTGAAATTGACTGATTGAACCTGGGGTTTTTTTGCACACGGCAGCAGAGGCCTAAAGCGAAAAGGTTTTATAAAACCCAGCTGAAGGCTTAGGACTGGGACGATGGTGCGCGTGCCCACAGAGAGGGCTCTGAGTGCTGCCTCTGGCACCCGTATCATAGGTTCGCCACCAGTGCCCTAGTAGTTCCTAGAATACACATTTTAAGGTGTAAACAGTCTGTTTTAGTTTGACAAGATTTATGTCTGTAAGTGAGGAGCAGTAAGAATTATTATTGGGAAGGATCTCAACTTATCTTTCTTTCTTGGAGCTGACAGAGACTTATTCCATATCAAGACATTCTCAGTATACTAACTTTAGAGGGTTGTTGTGGGGAAAAATAGAAGAAAGTGCTATGTATGCTGCTATGTATGCTGCTAAATGAAAAATGTGGTTAAAAATTAAATGAAGACAGAAATAACTTCCATACCCAACAACACTTTGATTTAATGGATCTTTATGGGAGGAAATAATCCCTGATTGTCAATGAAATCCAATTCATATCAAGTTGCCTTTTTAAAAATGTTTGTAATGATGTGCAAATTATATGGAAATATTTCATTTCACCAAGGAAGCAGAAATCAGTTTCTTTGGATCTGTTTGATGACAAAATAGAAGATTGCTACTTGGAATATAAAAAAAAGTAAATGGATTAAGGAGCATGAATTAATGAATGGAACTAAGGAAAGAAAAAAAAACAGGTAAGTTGTATGTCTTTGGAATCAAGAGAATAAACTGGAATGGAGTCTACAGTGGACCTGGAGGATGGTGACCTAATCTTGTAAAGGGGAGTTGAAAATACATGCAGGGGACCATGGTTATAGCTTGTGGTCTTCTCCCTCATTCCCACCCATCCATTCATGCCATCTAACAGACTTAATTTTTCCCATGAACATTCACTCATAATGTTCTAATATTTCCCAAGTCTCATCTTTTTTTTATTTATCACAGTTCACTGGAGCGTAACATACCAATATCAGCATCTGGCAAATCCTACTTTTCATTTATATACTTAATAACTAAGATAATACAAATTCATTCTGATACAATACACATTTTTAGCTTTTCATCTACAATGGACTATATTTTGAGCTTTTCAGAGATATGAAGATGATTGATGAGCACTTGTTTAGAAAAATAACCATTTTAGGTAAATATTAAGCTTAATAATGTCTAGTTATGCAGAGTAAAAGAAATTACAAGTTCAAAACCATGATTGATTTGATGGTTTATGATGAAAGGTAGAGAATTAAGGAATAATACAAGAACCATGAGCAACTAGGAAGAAACACTTCTTTGATGGAGTTGAAAGTAGATTTTGGGGGAAAATGAATCTGGAAAGAAGTAGAAAAAAAGCAGTGAGGGAAATTTAAAAAGGATGAAATGAAAGACTAGATGAGGAAAATGTGCACAAGAAAATCTTGCTGCAAATAAGGATGAGAGCAAGTAATTATGTATATGGAAGAGTTGGTTAAGATTAAAAGATGGAAGAAAAGGCAGGATGCGTTGGATGGAAATTTCAAGAAACGTGAGAAATAGTTTGAACAAGGAGTCTCCAGTTAAGTGACAAAAAAAATGAAGTGGAGGAAACCAACATGAGGAAAAATGGGAGTATTTTAGAAATGATATGGGGTTGATACTAATACTATGTGTGAAAGTGAAACAAAAATTATAAATGACAATGCCCAAGGGAAAAAGAAACCACATGAAATAAATGATGTGAGAATGTTGAAAAGTAACAAAGCTACTTGTGTATATATAACTGCAGAAATGCTAAGAGATTATTTGCTTATGGAAGTGGCTGTACAGCATGCTTACTGTGTGTTCTGAAGAGTGCATCTATATCTAACAATTGGAAGATTTTGTTTCCCTACAACAAGATGAAGGGGATTCATTTATTAAAAGTGCTTGGAAGATATTTGGCAAAATTGTTCTGGGAAGGTACAAGAGGTAAATATTAGCAACATTTCAGAAGTACAGGACAGTTTGGAGTAGAGCACTTAGTGAATAAAACAAGAGGGGAGGGAATAAAACATGGATGTGTGATATCCCCCTGCGTAATACATTTCAGGGGTACAAATATGCAAATACTTTTATACACAAATAGTGTCATGCTGGTATAGGACTCAAATGATGTGCAGTAAACGTTAGATAAATTGTATAGTTCCCTAAGGAATATGAGTCTGTATATTAATATATTGAAGACCTAGTTATGTTTGGTAGGGAAATAGAGTGAATAATTGCAAATTATAAGTGGTTAAAATGAGAGAAATAAATGAATAGTTGCTAAAGATGGGGAAATAAATTTATTAATTAAATTGATATAACTATCCATCTTGCTACTGTGACTCTGGGCAGGGTACAAAGTAAAGAATCCAGAAAACAATGCAAAGTCAACCAAAGAATAACTATAAAAATCATTACAAACAATAAAACTATTAAAGCATTAATCAGTGAGAGAGCGCTATTCGTTTTCTTAAAAGTATGACCACTTAGTAAACTTTCCACTAACTTACTTGGATCCAAAGGGCAGATGACAAAGTCATGTCTTAAGACTCTTCTTGAAGCCTACTAAGGTCCAGGCCAATCTCACCTTAGGAGTTACAATGTTCCAAGCACTGTGGGAGAAAAGGTCTCCTTGATCCCATCAAATAACTTTCCCTCATGAATAGGTTGTCCAATCTACCCTTTCTGCTGGGTTTGATAGGATACTGTAGGTAGATATATGAGTAGTCCTCAACTTAGCAATTTTTCATTTAGTGATCAAAGTTCACTATGGGCGCTGAACAAAATGACTTATGACCATTTTTCGTACAACAACCATTGCAGCGTTCCCATGGTCACGTGATCAAAATTTGGAGGCTTAGCAACTGGAACATATTTATAAGATGGTTGCAGGGTCTCAGTGTCACTTGATCACCTTTTGCAACTTTCTGACAAGCAATGTCAATAGGGAAACCAGATTCACTTTACAACCATATTATTAACTTAACAACTGCAGTGATTCATTCACTTGGTGATAACCAAGTAAAGTTTGATTTTGCTTCCTCTTTCAGTAGCTTACTAGCTCCTAACATATCCAGAGACTGTAAAGCTCCCTTTTTATTTTATAAGCAAAGGTTGCCCTCTAGTGATGATAGATGTAAGTTTGCTCTCTAACTACTGTATGTAAATTCTGCTCCCCATATCAATAGAAATTTGATAAGAATGTTTGCTGGAGATTTTCTTTTAATTTTCACTATTTGATCTCTAGAATGGCATAAATAGAAACATAGAAAACTGATGACAGAAAAAGACCTACTGATTCCTTGAAAATTTTGTTTTCTTTATAATTTATTTATTGTGTCAAAGGTGCTTTTCAAAAGGCAATTGGACTTCCATGGGTTTTTTCCCCTTGAAAACATTTTGCTTCTCATCCAAGTAGCTTCTTCAGTTCTTATTTATTTATTATCTTTAATTATTTTTATTTTTTTTTTAAAATTTTTGTCTTATGTTAGGCATGTGTTTATCCCAAGCGTGTTTGAACTCAGTTACTGATGACTGGTCCACTGCCTCCACTGGAAGTTGCTTCCAAGTTTCCACTCTTCATTCTGTGAAGTAATACTTTCTAATATTACTTTTGAATTTCCCTCCTATCTGTTTAAGATTATGTCCCTGTGTTTTTGATTTTTGCTTAATATTGAAAATACTTCCTTCTAATCTAGAATTTATTCACATCCTTAATATATTTAAAAGTTTCAATCATGTCTCTCCCCACCAACCCCATTTTCCCTTCTGTTCTCCAGGCTGTACATATTCAGTTTCTCCAATATTTCCTGATATGTCCCTCAGACCTTGCACCATTATTGTTGCCCTTCTCTGGACTCAATCTTATCAATGTCTTTTTTTAAAATGAGATCTCTAGAACTAGACATAGTGTTCCATATAGGGTTTGACTAAAGCCCTTATAACAAAATTGGACCTCCTATTTCCTAATGGTAATCCCTCTAGTGATGTACCCCAGAATTTTGTTTTTGTCTTCATGGGTGCCTAGCCCCATTGTTTATTCAGTTTACAGTCATCTGCTATGAACTCACCTAAATCTTTTTCTTCTGCAATTCTGTCTAATACTGTACCTCAATACCATACCTTACTAGCATCGTTGTTATGGGGGAGCTGAAACTATTTTAGTGACTAACAGGAAAAGCTCTCAATATATTCCACAATAGGAGAAAAAAAATTATATATAGTATTGGAAGAAAACAGACACTTCTTCTCTCATTCTGAATAGAATGTAGTATTCAGAATTTTGCCTTTCTTAACAAAACATTTGAATAAACCAGCAAATATATAGGAACTGGCTTCATTTTAAATGCATTGCTGGGGAAAGCAATAATTGGAAGACAGATATGCTGTCAATAAAAATAATGTGCATTCTGGGGTCCCCCAAAATCTAAAATTGTGATCTTGAAATGCCAGATGTTATAGGAAGATGGCTTCAGGAGGGCTTTGATGCATAACATGCTTTTTCTACTAATTCAACTGTATAATAATACTAAAATTGCTTTGTTGGGCCAAGTAAAGAGGGTTTTGGGGGTCCAATTGTCTGCTGATTTTTGTAGTCAAATGGATGTCTCTACTGAAAAGTCCATCATGGAAATGGTTGGAATCCCAATCCTTTAATTCCCAAGAGACCAACTGTCTCTATATATGGAGATTCTGTCTGAGCATTAGTCATGAAAATTATTTATAAGCCTTCTATGAATTTGACAGATAGTTAAGAATACATTATTTTGTTGATATTACTAAATGATCCAGCAGAGGGCAGAAAAACGCTAGCAAAAAGACCAAAGTAACATCAAACCTTGTTTAATGTGAAAATACACCATTATACTTCCTCAGTGCTACAAATCAAACGTTTAGTTTAGGAAACAATGAAAATTAAAGGATATGCTTCGAAGAGCCTCTTTCTATAATGTGTCAATCAGACCATGAGGAAAATATTTAAAATGGGGAATAAAACTTCCCAATAATTAAATTTTCCTAAAAGCAAAGTATATCCATTGTTTACACAAAGTCTGCTCAACTGGAAGTTAGACAGTCACTTGTCTGAGATGGTATAGGTTCTCCTGCTTGAGTAGGGGGCTGGACTAGAAGACCTCTAAGGTCCCTTCCAGCTTCTATTCTATTCTATTCTATTCTATTCTATTCTATTCTATTCTATTCTATTCTATTCATTCAGTTCACATGATGAAATTGATTGATTGATTGATTGATTGATTATGCACCATCCAGTTGTTATTCATTGTCATTGAGAATTTCTCTATGACAATCTGACCCTAACTTGGTCTTTCTGGTCTTCCAATGGTGCATTAATTGCCATTGTAAGTGAATCCATCTGTGTTGCTCATCATCTTTTACATTTCCCAGCATTAGAGTTTCTCCAGAGAGCTAGGTTTTTGCATAATGTACCTCTTCCCAAATTAATGCAAATGTTGTCATTTGGGTTTTCATGTTTCAGAATCTTCAAGCAACTAAAAAAGAATATAAGATATTGACATAACATATTGAAATACTAGAAAACTGCTGTCTTTCGGATCTATCACTAACAGCAGTAAAGGAACAAGCAATCAAGAAATATTCTGCAAGCTAGCACTGGGTATGGTAGTAATAAAAGCCTCTGAAAAATATTCAGGTGTCGTGTGTCTATGCTTGCACAGATGGAACTGTGCACACAATATTTTCCCCATGATGTTCAATACAAATAGCAGTTGGATTTTGAAAGTACAATAGAAAGAGTATTGATACTTTTGAATTTTGGTGATAGATAAAACTCCTGAGAATATCATAAGTAGCCCCCCAACACCCCACCAACACAAATAAATATATCACTAAAAAAAATCAGTTCAGAGTTTTTATTTGAGACACAAATGATTAGGCCCAAATTATCATATTTTGAACAAATGATGTGAAATCTCAGCTCCATGGAGAAGCCTATAATGCTGGGAAGGATAGAAGGAAAGAAGAAGAGGACAACCAATAACAGGATGGATGGACTCAATTACAGTGGTGACAGGTAACAGATTAGTTACAGATCAGAAAATGTATCTGTATGATCACAAAGAGTCAACACTGATGTGATGGCATATACAAAAAGCAAAATTCAGTATAAATGAGTTTAGAGTATAAAAATGGATGGAAGACTTTGTCTGGCTTTTCTAAAAAGTCAAAAAGTGTACGAATAGCTCAGAATGAAAACTAGATTCTGAAACTTTTTTCTTGCTTTCCAGAGATCAATGTAAGAACTTTAAATATCTGAACCTATTATGATTCCTGTACTATTTTTGCAAATCTTTTTGCATTCACTTTATGCACTGTTGGCCATTAAAATAATACTATGTGTATATTTCATATTGAGAAGCTTTTACAATACAGTAGTTTCAGTTACAAATTCCAATCCAAGGAAAGGTATTCACTAAGGTCAGGTAGTAACTGTTTAAAATTGTCTGTGCCCTGAAGTAATTTTGTTTAGCCTTTCAGACAGATGATGTTGGAGATGATAGATATTTCTTGAGAGGTCATTTGGGTACACTTTCAATGGTATAATGCACCAACTGATTTTCATGAATCCTTAAGAAAGAATGCATGGACTGCATGTATAGAAAGTCTATCTGTCTTCGGTGTAAAAAGTTGGCAAAGTGCTGCATTTCTAAGAGATTTGGAGCTCACTCTGCTACATTGGCTGGATTACTACCTCAAATTGCTCAAGGCCTGCTTTTTACTATTCCAGGTTTTCAAGAAATAACATGCCTTGTGGAAGCTGTTGTGATTCAGATATCTGCTTTTGGTCTCAAATAGAGATGTATTGCTAATGATCAAATAGTGAACATTAGTAGGCTGGGTTTGGCCCACAGGCAACCAGTTGATAAAAAATCATGTAGAGAGTTTGGATGAATATGAAAAGGCCATTAAAACTGAAGCTTAGCCAGCAATGTGAGAAAATGCGTGGATGGTTGTTAATTAAACCTTTTGTTTTGCAAAAATGCCAAAGCAGCTGGGAGTTGGCTAAAATGCAGACTCCAGCCTGAAGGGATAGCCTACATTTCGACTACCCTTTCGTCAAACTGTAATTAGGAAAGTCCAAGGTGGGATGGAGAAGCACATCCATTTACCCACCCACTCAGCCTGCGTTTCTGTTGAAAATGAAACTCTCTCTTTTCAGCACCTGGACAGCTCCAATTTGTCTGCAAATGCCTAAAAGAAGCAAGTTCTATATGTACGAATATATATATATATATATATATATATATATATATATATATATATATATATATATATTTGAGACAAGACTCGGGGAAGGCTTTCTTTTTTGGGGACCAATTTATGTATCCATTATTATTGAAGAGATCTTGGAAAATCACAGTTGAAAGCTATTGTGCTTTCTTTACAATTTTATAACCTATGGTTGGGTTCAATTCAATTCTGTAACAGGGAGGTATCATCAGCCCACCAACTTAAGATTGTCCCCTAAATCAGAGTGGATATATATAGAGGGTATATAGGATAATATTGCAGAAGAGAGGAAAGATCTGTACTAAAGCAGGAAAGAGATAAATGGGGCTTAAGCTCATATAAAGAGTTTTATATAAACAATTCCACTCCCATTTTTTAAGATAAAAAGGGGAAAGCACATTCATACTTGCAAGATTATATTTATTACAGCCATTCTAATACTAATAGAATAGTTTTAAGCCTATGTAGTATCTGATTGTTGGTCTGCTCTACCTTATAGGGATACCTTAAGCCAGACATGTCAAACACAAGGCCCGGGGGCCGGATGCGGCCCACAAAGTGGTTTCATGTGGCCCACGAAGCCATTCTGGAAACAGTGAGGGAATGGCCCCCTCTGCCTTGGCCCTGGCCCAGGCCAGCCGAGAGCCAATGTACAATTTTGTGGTGGCCATCTATGCTGAAACGCATTCAATCTTAGCTCCACAAGGTTGTCTGCAAACAGCGAGGAACCAGCCATGTCAGCCCCACCCCCTGGGTGCATGCTGGGAGGTGTCACCCTTTATGAGGAATGAAGAAATGCACCATCGCCTGGAAGTGGCCAGCAAATGGCCCTTGCCTACTCCACATATCCGGTGTTTCGGCAGGCAGTGGGGCGCTCTCCTCACAGCGCCGAGAGGCTGAGCCAGGCGGTGTGAATCCCAAAAGAAGTGCAATGCCGCCCAGCCCCCAACCTGTGCAGTTTCGGCAAGCAACCAGGCAACGTAAATCTGATAAGAAGTGCAATGCTACCTAGACCCCAGCATGTACAGTTTCAGCAGGCAGCAAGGTGCAAAACTGATGAGTTTTGCACCACTGGGCTCAACCTCTCAGCACTGTGAGGAGAGCTGCCTGCCGAAACCAGGCAGGCTGGGGGTTGGGTGGCATCGTGCTTCTTTTTGGATTTGCGCCACCCAGCTCAGCCTCTTGACGCTGTGAGGAGAGCGCCCCACTGCCTACCGAGACCAGGCAGGCTGGGAGCTGGGTGGCATTGCGCAGGTAACGTTGACTCATGGCATTCCCTCCCACAGAGTCCACTAAGCCAGATATGTGAAGTAGGTGAGGGCCATGTGCTGGCCACTTCCAGGCAATGGTGCATTTCTTCATTCCTCATGAAGAGTGATACCTCTCCAGCTGCGTTTCTTGCCTGTTTCTCTCCCTCCCTCATCTAAAATATTTTCCCACCACTCTGTACTTAGGAAGAAAAGGAAGGAAGGAAAGAAGGAGAGGGAGGGTCTGAGGGAAGTCCTGCCTTAGTCCTGTCCTGCTGCCCTTTCACTATCCCCTTGCCCCCTCCTCCTGGCCTATCCTCCCACCCTATTGCTAAGGAAGTTTTGGATACAAAGCTGGGTCTCCTCCCATGGAGAGGGAGTGGGCCTCCCTCTGACTTTGCCCTCATACCCATCATGAGCAACCTGGCAAGTACAGCAGCAGCAGTCTTGATGAGGTGGTAAGTGCAGCTGGGCGCCACCTTGGGGAAGTGGGGCTGGGCTTGGTGCCGTGGGTGCTCGAGGGCCAGGCTGGGCATTTGACCTCTGCTGCCCAGGGCTCTGAGTAGCCCGCACCACCATCCAGCCCCCCCCCCACATGGCCTGAGAAGAACAGTGAGGCTTCTCCAGTGGACCATGCCTTGGTAGGTGCCCTGGTCCTATCACCTTCTACCAGAGATGCTCAAATCTGTCCCACTCCTTGCCCCCAAAGGCCCCCACAGGCCCCCTTGACGTGAATCATGTAGAGCTGGCCACGCCCACCCAGTAGGCCACACCCACTCCATCCACACTCACCTAGTAGGCCTCACCCACCTGGCCCCCCAAGGGCAACCGCAATGCTGATGCGGCCCTCAATGAAATTGAGTTTGAACCCCTGCCTTAAGCCATCCTTGAATGAATGATCTGACTACAGTTGTTTTATCAACTACCAAGGAAGGCTTTGCATGAATAAAATATGTTCCAGTGTAAAATAATCAATGATCCTATGTATGGAAAGAATCATTAGACTTATAATCTCAACACAACATGGAATATGGATTCTCAAATCTCCAGATTACTCGGCATTTCTATTCCTTTCCCCCCATGTATTCCATTCCTGGGCTTTGTAGTTTTTCTTCTGTGGCCAGCAACACAAAAGTTTCCATCAATACCATTCCTCCAACTCCTTTCCCAGATCTCTGTTACCATCCTCAGGTGCTCTTTTATTAAGTCATTATTGTTTTCCAATCTGCAGTCCTCCAGATGCCTTGGACTAGAATCTTGTTATATTACAGGATCTTGGCCAATCATTAAATGAAATTTATTAAAGAACCAACAGATTTTATCCTATAATAAAAAGGTTGTAGACCAAGATAATGAAGGGGGAAAGACTATAGTGCAGCATTTCATTATCTGATGCCATCCAAGTATGTTGGATTACAGCTTCCATCATTCTCCATACTAATTTGCCAATGATTAAATGAGACCGATTTCTGAAGATTTTAGCTTATTCTTTCTCCCCATTCTCTTGGATTTGAAGAAACATCTTGCAGGCATTTGCCAAGTACTTGGCTGATATTTCATCTGGTATTCCCCTCCCCCCCACAAATTGCTTAGAAACTTTTTAAAACCTAAGCAATGTCAACTGCATGTCTTAGGCTGGCTCATTAGTTGGCTTTTGCAGGCCCAGGGTACCCCACCCCTGCTGCTAGCATCTATCTCCAGGGTGCCCCACCCCTGTTGCTAGCATCTATCTGCCCTGATGCTCCTCAAGATTTTTTGAGGGCTGAGCTGTCTTAAACAATGGATTTACAGATACAAAAGTAATGCTACCTGTCTTTTGATTAGTGGCTTGTAGTAGCTGAAAGACAACTTAGAAGAACTATAAGAATCTATGACAAGCAGGCTTCTCCCTTGTTAGTTAGCTCAAGGGTCTCACACAGTAATTCACATAATCTGATTTGCCCATATGAGGAAACAGCTGGAGACCACTTAATTTTTATAATGCAAAGTATTAGGC